GGGTTTTTCCCTTCCATTTCAAACCTATCACATTCAAAAACAAAGTAAGCTGCCTAATATTACTGGTAGTATCGGTCTCACGAATAGGGTAATTTTCGGTCCGACAAAAATCCATTGGTCTGGCAAATTTTTTACTACTGCCAGTCCAAATATCCGGTCACTCTGAAAAGTTTTCAGCATGTCTGTTCTTACTCATCACTAGGAACATTTCTGGGCCAAAATACAGGAAACTTAATAATCTGACAAAAAGGGATTTTGATGTAAATATGTTAGTACTGCACCACCATAGGGTATTCTACCCAAAATGAAGTTATATTGTTCAGCAACGTTAACAAAATTGGTATTTAATTACGTGCAAAACTTTTCTCTCCATCTAATTATAATTTAATTATATAGAGAGAAAAGACTGATTTGTTCCTTGTCTTTCTATATATATATATATATATATATATATATATGAAGCATTTTTTCTTTCTCCATTGACAACATATAACATTGTATACTGATAGTTAATTTTAGCATTATTTGTAGAAAATTTGAGGCGCAAATTTTATTGGGCAAGGGAGATGTATGACAGTTACTTAGCATTATTTATTTCCTAATTATTTCATATTTATAAAAAAAAAAAAAAAAAAAAAAAAAAAAACATTACAGCCATTGGGCCACTTGGTAACTTCCTTCCATTACATCTATTCAAATTCTAATTGGTTTGCTCATGTGGAAGGGAGATACCATGTGAAGCTTTAATTAAATGCATAACCTTTACTATGACAATGGCCAGTATATCTTGTGACTATCTTATTTAAAGAAACCAGTCAAATAGCCAATAATATCAATTGTTAGTAATGGCAAAACTGTTCGTCTGCTTTGCACACTCCACTCTACACTTGACCTATTTTCGACTAAAACAGATTTTGCGCAGCGTGTTCATCTACTTAGCGACCATGCCTCCGAAAAAGCAATTATTAATAGACAGTAGCCAACAGACAATATTGAATATATTTAAGGTGAGACAGAGTCAAGCCAAGTTAGAGAAAACTTCTGAGACAGTAATCGCTGTGATTGCCTTTGAGGCTGAGAGTGAGAGTGACGCGGATGAATGTTTGACGGAGGCAAAAACGGAGTCAAAAAGGAAAATCAGGAAAAAAAGGATGTGAGAGGGGTTTTTCATGTCAAAATAGTATATTGAAAAAGGACAGATGTCGTCTTAATGTTGAAACCCAGAACAACGCCAAGTCTGATGACTATCATTTGGCTATTGATTTGTGGCAAAAGGACAAGGAAAGGCGGATATATGAACTGAAGTAAACTCGTCACTGTCATATTGCTTAAATAAAGAAACTTGAAAAAAATAAAAGTAACAAATTGTTAGTTTTGTGGTAACCTTTATTGTTCAAAATGACAGGGACCCATCACAATCGGCAGGGACCCATTGTTCAATATCATGTGCATCCTGTTGGACTCATAATATTTAAAGGTAAAATGATCACTGCTATGTAGCCACCTTTGTCTGTATTTTATTGTATATATTGTGACGATGTAGTGTGTTAGTTGAGATTGTTTTATATTGCTACCGGTAGATGTCTCTATAAGTAAAGTGTTACCCGGTGTGCAAGTTTGAATCTCTCCCGTGATTGGTAACTTAAACATAAAACTGTTCACTGTATAGTTGGTTCTGATTGGTAAACGTGTACTATCTGAACTTGTATATAAGGTCCGAATTGAAATAAATCGCTCTCTTTGTTGGGACTTTTGGCTCTAGCCTCTGTGTTCTTGGCTCTTTTGGTCCTCTTTGCGGCTCTCTTTGGCTCTTTACGGCTCTTAACTCTGAGATACCAGTAAGTACATTGTTATTTGTACCTTCATAAGGCACTCGGCCGCAAAGGCGTAACAATTGGCGCAGTCGACAGGATTGAGTTTGTGTTGCTTATTAATTGACAGGATATTATTTTGTGAAGCTAACGTTATTAGAGGATACAATTTGTGTAGCATATGTTGTTAAATTGACAGAATTCAATTTGTGTAGCTAACGTTGTCAGTTTACGGGATAGAATTTGTGTAGCTTATGTAGTTAGCAGATATAATTAGTAGTTATTAGTGTTATTGGAATTTTTGAAAAGCTTTGTGTATGACTGAGTGAGAGTTGGAAAGAAAGTGACACGTGTTAGACAGGACTTGTTGCAAGACGCGAACTAGTCGGGACATATTGCAGTGATATTTCATTTTCATTGTTGTTTGATACTTGAGGCAATTCAGTAAATATTGTCAAAGTAGTATTCATTTTAGTAGTTTAGAGATATTTTGTATTAATTTTCTGTTGTGATACTACAACTGCAGAGACATTGCGGACCACGTGTACCGAGTAGTAGTCGGAAAGACCACGTGTACTGAGTAGTAGTCGGACAGACCACGTGTAATCACAGGCCCGTGCTTGTATAGAGCCTTGTGTAGTGATTAGAATACAGAACATAATTTAGTGAGTTTATTTACAAAGAAAAGCAGTTATTTAAAATAAAGGTTTCAAATTTGTGTTTTTCACTGACTTGCTGAATGAAGGAGTGAGTGTGAATTGTTTATTGTATATTTTTATCAATATTGCAATAGCATATATTGATAGAGTACTATTCTACCTTGTTCGTCTGTGTTGAAAGTGTTTTCATCATAGGTGTACATGTGAGTAGGTTGAATAGTGTGAGAGATTTTGTTTGTATTTACTGTGAAGTTTAGTAGTGGCTTTTTGCTGAAACTTTCTTCAAACAGTAAAGTGTGGTAGTGGTGAAAGTATTTTATTGTGTAGGTTTTGTGGCACAGCTGCATTGCTATTATCAATAAAATTGTGTAATAGGTTGTGGGGAAACTGGAAGTGAAAATGGCGTCGGGTATTGTGGAAAGTAGTGTTGTGTTGAATGTGCAGACAGCATCTGAGACAGAATTGAAAAATTTAAAAGGAATTGGTCCAGTGAAAGCTCATAGATTGGTGTCTTTGAGAAATCAAAAAGGAAAATTGTTGTTGAGTGATTTGGAAGAAATTACTGGTATAAGTGTGGCAGATGGGCAGAAATGGGAAAAGAAGGGTATTGTGATTCTGGGTGTAATGGAAGAAAAAGATGAAGGTTCAAAAGTTGGAGATGAGAAAAAGGAAGAGAGTGTGAATTGGGAAGAAAAGTATAGAAAGTTGATGGAGCGAGTGAAGGTACAAAATGAAATGATATCAAATCTTCGAGATGAGGTTGAAGAAGCTGGTGAAAAGATAGAATTTTTATCTAGTGAATTGGAGATGAATGATGTTAAAGTGAAAAAGTTGGAAGTTGAAAATTCAGAAATGGTAATTGATTACAAAAAGTTGAAACGAGAGAGGAATGCTTTGGAAAATGAAAAAAATGCATTGGAAGATGATAAATCTGTATGGGAAAATGAAAAGAGGGCATTGGAAAGAGAGAAATATGCTTTGAAAAATGAAAAGTATAGTTTTGAATGTGAACAGAAAAGAGTCCCTTTAGTTGAAAGAGAAAAAGGACCTGTTCATAAAATGCCTAGTTTTAGTGGAAATGGAAGAGAAAATTGGGAAGCTTTTGTATTTAAGTTTGAAGGAATGGCAGAAAGATATGGATGGAATGATAAAAGAAAAACTAGCAGAATGATTGAATGTTTGGAAGACAGAGCTCTTGAGTACGCGGTGGAGTTTGGAAACTGCAAATATAAACGTTTGAAAGAAGTGATGTCAAAACGTTTTAGTATGAAAGAGTCTGCTTCATCTGCATGTAGAGCACTTCAATCAATGAGACAGGGTGAAAGTGAATCTTCGCAAGATTTTTCTCATCGTGTTTTCATGGCATCTAGAGAGGTATATGCAGGTGGTGAGGGAATAGCTGTGGATTCATTTTTGAGAGGGTGTCGTGACAAATAATCTGCAAAATTGGCTATGGATAAAGAGCCTAAAGATTTATTTGAAGCCTTAGAGTTTGTGAAAGTTGCAAACAATAACTTCAAAGCAGTGTATGGTACAGGTGGCAGAAATGTGCATATTAGACAAGTTGGAATGTCTGATCAGAGTGTGGAGAATGGAAGTAATAACCAATTACTCTACAATATGCAAAGAACCATGTCTGCTATGTGTGATCAGATGAAAAGAATGAATGATGCATGGGTGTCACCATCAAATTCTCAGAGAAATTCTGGTAGAATGATAAAGTCACCACAGAATGGAAACGTAAATCAAAGTAGAGGGGGTCCACCACAATGTTTTAATGTGGAGAAAGAGGTCATGTTCAAAGGGATTGTAAAAATGAAATTGTAGAACGTCCACCTAATCCCAATGTTAGTAAAAATGCCAGCCCAAGTTCTATTTTGATTTGTCATAAATGTGGACAGAGAGGTCACATTCAAACAAATTGCCCTCAAAATAGAGAAATGCCAAAGAATCCTCCTCCCGGTGCAAGAAATTCGGTAAACTAGTACGGGACGAATGGGGCTATCAGTTTTTTTCACCACTGGGTGGCGCGCTTGTTTTAGTTGGGGTACTTTTGCGCATGCGCGTACTTTCTCGCGTGTCAGGAGGTCATTCTTTTCCGAAAGACACAAAGCTGAGTTACCAGTGGAGAGTTGCCATCAGGAGGGTTGATTCTACATCAAAAACACTATGGAAACCAAAGGCACATGACAGTCTGTTTCCTCCACTTTCGTGAGGAAGATTACATTTCTACACTTGTACGTAAGTTGTACTTGCTGTTGTCGCTTTTAGTATAAGTTTGTCAACTTATTCATTAGGTCTTTGTTATCGATGTTTAAGTAATTATGTCGTTTAACGTGTTTAGAATGTTAATTTTTAAGACATTTTTCACCTAACATTATGTAGCGATTTGGGGGGAGAAAACACTCTACCGACTAAGCTACCGAGCCCGGGTCAACACCGACCAGCCACTACAATTATTTCTTCGTTTTTATGTGATAATCCATAAGGTTTTTTAAAGGCCACGTTTTCAAATTAAGACAANTTTCCGAAAGACACAAAGCTAAGTTACCAGTGGAAAGTTGCCATCAGGAGGGTTGATTCTACATCAAAAACACTATGGAAACCAAAGGCACATGACAAAGTCTGTTTCCTCCACTTTCGTGAGGAAGATTACACTTCTACGTAAGTTGTACTTGTTATTGTCGCTTTTAGTATTAATAATGAGTTTGTCAACTCATTCATTAGGTCTTTGTTATTGATGTTTAAGTAATTATATCGTGTAACGTGCTTAGAATGTTAATTTTAAGACATTCTTCACCTAACATTATGTAGCGATTTGGGGGGAGAAAACACTCTACCGACTAAGCTACCGAGCCCGGGTCAACCCCGACCAACCAATACAATTATTTCTTCCTTTTATATGTGATTTAATCCATAAGTTTTTTAAAGGCCACGTTTTCAAATTAAGGCAATTTGATTTTTATTGTATTAATAATCGTTATGTGCACTCCTTTTGCAGATGAGAGAAAAAGACTGAAGCCAGGAACGATACCATCCATATTTCCATTTAATAAAGTGAAAGACGTACCATCATCAGCTGTCTAGCTAAAAGCTGCAAAGTATTAGATCCGGTGACAGTAGGCCTACTAACAGCTCCTGATTGTATTCATGGAGGTAAATATAACGCATGATATGATAACAGATTTATAAATAAAATGTTTATTTTTATTTGTATAATTATCTGTGTAAATACTAAAAATACAAGATACGGACTAAACAGGACAAGAGGCAGTCAGATCTGCGTCATTTCTGTCATCTACACCGATTTTATGTGTTTAAACACAATTAAAATTAATACATGAAGTATTTTACTTTGTGTAATTTATTAACTTATGTATTTATTTTTTGTTGTATCCTATAGGTTGAGTCTCGAGCAGATGAAGCAGTGGAAGACAAACATGAAGACTGTCCTGGTGAGAGCCAAAAAGAAAGTACAGCTTCCCAGTGTGATATCATTACATCATCAGACACAAGAGAAAGCATCATGCTGTACCAGCAAAATGCAAAGGCTGTCCAGTATCTAACTGGATTCAGTCATTTGAACACTTCATGTTGTTTTTCAATTGCCTTGGACCAGCAGCTCACCGCTTGAATTTCAAATGTTTGTCACCAAAGGACCAATGTTTTTTGACCATTATGCATTTTGACATTTTCAAGCTATCGGTAACAACGGCGTCAGAAATAAAAAGCACATGGATCAACTTTGTTTTTCCAGCTCAGTGAAATGAACATTTAGCCAGAACGTGACATTGTTGACGACTATATGCCTTTAAAATTTAAGAAATATGGAGTATTGATTTCATGGGTAAACAAGAGTGACTGGCATAATTTGCCCTTGTCTCGTCTTTCGGTTGCGTTCAAAATATCACCAAACCTAAAAAATAAAATTAAATTAATGAGATTTTGTTTTTTTACTGTTCTTTTCAATTTGTATTTCAAATGCAAAATGAAATTGTACATTCATAGCATTAAATTGTGACCTTCAAACCATGATATATCATCTCACAACTTGTATTTCTGTACTATAATGCAACTACAGATACATAGTAGCTCAAGCTACATGACATTGTATGACATGACATTGATACAAGACATTTCAACAAGTAAAAAACTAGCAAACTTATTTTCGTTTGCACACCTACATCGATGCTGTTATTCTCCATGATCTTTCTTCATGCCACACTCGACTTTTACTTTGGCCTCTAGTTCTGTTTTCAAGTTATGCCACTTCCTTCTCTGTGACCTACCAACATCAATGCAAGGTTATGAGGGAGTGAAAAAAACAATGATGCTAACAAAACGATGCTAACATTCTTGGCAAACACTGTTTAGATTGTCTACCTCATCTACACTTAGTTATGTCAACTGTCATTGACATAAAATACGCATCAGGCCTTGTTTCTCCCTTAAAAATTTGCGTTGACACAAGTCGTGTTAAATGTCGGACCTGGTACACGAAATTTGATTACTGAAACGAACGGTCCTTTATCGACTAGGAGTGCCTACAATAAACATATTTTAAACATAAATACCTTCATTATATTCTCGGGATATGGAAATATGCAATGACAATATTATTGTCTTGAAATATAGTAATAAATTAGGCATATAAGTAGCGGAACTAGCCGCCGCTTACACCTGGCTTTTGACAGGTAGCTCACACAGAAACCCATATTTTACGGGAAGATTCGAGCGCGAAACCTTCAATGTTAGTGATACAACTGACATATTTATAAGTAAATACACTAACCTTTCTATCAAATCCTGTTTCTTTCCTCTTGTGGAGGCTCCTTTTTCAACTAGTTGAAGTTTTAACTTCGCCACTGTTTGCTTCCCATACTCTAAAGCCATTTCTACACGGACGCGAAAACGAGGCTATCTTCAATAACCACTATTACCCCAGCGCCCTCTTTAGGACAAACGGCTCCGCGTATAGCCCCATT